AGTGGGAAATCAAAAAGTACTGGGAGATCTTCTCCGGGCTCGGCCCCGTCGACAACAAGTTGACGGGCGACCGCGTCCAGCCGGTGCTTAAAAACCTGCGGCTCCCTGACGCCCAGCTCGCCCAGATCTGGGAGCTCCTGGACATCGACGACGACGGCAAGCTTGACTTCGAGGAGTTCTGCATCACCATGCGGCTCATATTCGACCTCGTCAACGGCAACGCCCAGCAGGTACCGACGCAATTACCCGACTGGTTGATCCCGGCGTCGAAAATCCACTTAATCCAGGCCAAGCAGGCGTTAAGCGGCAACGTCACCGACATATACAATGTGCTGGGGACTCTGGACGACGACGACGACCGGTTGCTGGACGATTTCGACTGGTATATTTCTCCTACTGATCGCTCCACTTACGAAGCGATATATAACCGCAACAGCGACAAGTTGGGCCGCGTGCGGTTTGAGCTGTTGCAACCGTTGTACGACGGGTTGTCGAAAGTCCCCTCTCTGGACATTTCCAGCGCGTGGAACTTAGTCAACCCTAAACTGTTTGAGACCATCGATAAGGACCAAGTGCTCGTGTTTTTGCACATTTTGAACCAGCGAGAAAACGGCAAGCGGGTACCTCGCGGGGTGCCGGCGTCGCTTCGAGCTACCTTCTCCAAAGAGGCTCCCAACTACGACCTCGACGCCCAGCAAACCCAGCTGCTGATGCCCGCTCAGCGACTGGGGGGGAAGAAACTGTTTGGCCACGACTACTTGAGCAAGATCGGCCAGAGTCTGTCTATCGCCGAGAAAGGTACCGATTTCAGTGTAACTGAAGGTACTGACTGGGAAGAAGCCCGGTTAAAGCGTCAACTCCAGGATCTTGAAAACTTACTCGAAAAAGCTCAACAACAAAAGATGGGCGGGTCTGGTGACGACGGCTCCGACTACGGCGTGGTCAAGCACGAGTTCGAGCAATTGCTCAAGTACAAACAAAACGAGCTTCGCAAAGCCCGCGCCAGCGGCTCACGAAACGATCTCGGCCTGGTAGTGACGGACATCGAGTTGATCGAGAGCCAGGTGGCTCTGTTAGAGGGCTACTTGTCGCAGAAGCAACAGGAATTGGCGGCGATCCAGCAGGAGATCGCGGCTTTAAAGTAATGACGATGATAAAAAAAAAAAGAATATGTGATCCTAATGCGTAGTTTTATTGAACGATGGTTTATATAATGGAGTAAGGCGGAAGCGCTTACTTCTTAGCGGCTTCGTCTTCCTTGGGTTCGGGTTCGGGAGTGGGCAACTTCATCGACTCAGGAGTGAAGTCCTTACCTTCACCAACTTGTTCCCACACCGACGCCCCAACGGTGAAGTTTCTCCAGGCCTGGGTCAACTCGAGGGGTTCGTAGACGACTCTCTTCTTTTCTTCGTCGTATCTGACTTCGGTGTAACCAGTAGTGGGGAAATCCTTTCTCAAGGGGTGACCTTCGAACCCGTAGTCGGTCATGATTCTTCTCAAGTCGGGGTGGTTTTCAAAGAAAACCCCGAACAAGTCGTAAGTCTCTCTTTCGAACCAGTTGGCCCCTTGGAACAACGGCACCACCGAGGGCACCGACGACGTCTCCGAGGCGTAGGTTTTGACTCTGATTCTCGAGTTGTGTCTCACCAGCAACATGTTGTAGACAACGTCGAACCGGTTGGTTCTCGAAGGGTAGTCGGCGGCAGTGACGTCGACGACAGACTTGAACTGGGCCGAGGTGTGGTGCTTCAAAAACAGCATCACGGGGAGCACCGCCGACGGGGCGATGTAGATGGTGAGCTCGTCCTTCCACACCGAGAACTGCTGGATGTACTTGGGCAAGCACGCCATGATGTACTTGCCGTACTTGTGCAATTCCTCGATGGTGTCCTTGTACTTTTCGGCGGGGTTGACGATGGGCACCTCAATTTCCTTTTGGAACTTGGGGCGGGGCAACGTCCGCGGGTCGACGAGGTCGTCCTCAGGCGAATGGGAATACATCCGGGCCTGGCGGGCCACGACACGGGCCGTGGGGCGAACGGCAGCTCTCCGAAGGGCACAGCGGTACATGGGTGGGTGGATGAAAAATTGGTGGCCGGTTATTGGTTGTGCGAAAGTGCGACTGGGAGCACCACCAGCGACGAGAAGTGTGGGAAGATTGAGGGGTAGCAGAGGACAATGGAGGTGGTAGATTTCGTGATTTGACTCAATTATAGCCCTTTCAAGTGACTGAGGCTTCTAATTTGTAGGTTTTGGGTTTTCTGGCTTGTTGACTAGTTGGGCTGTTGTGAGCGCGTCGGCCGTAACAACAATGACTATGGAGGCATTTGATGTATATGCTTCAGAATACTTACGTCTACAATTTGGAGTGTTTAAAGTTCTCTTAATGATGTTTCTCAAATTTCTCCCCATTCTTACGTATTATGTTTGTACTACACGTGGATAGACAGTCGATAGACAACATACTATGATCAGGTTTTACGCAAACTATTTCTTAACTTGGTAACATGCCATTGTAACCATGGGATACCCAACACAATCTTGAATGTTTTGGCTTAATCAGCTGAAGGCTTTTTGGAATTGATCTACGCTCTACTCATTTGCATGAAGGCTCGACCTGTGTACAACCACGACTGTATCTCCAGAAATCATTGCAAATAGAAAGCTTTTGTTTCATGTTTTATTTTGATAAAAATCACATCAAATTAAGTTTTTTCCAGCTTGTGTTTATCTTCGCAGCCGTACACTGTCTTGGGGCATCTTACAGCGGTATCGCCCACACCACCACGCGCATGGTGTTATGGCGAGATTCCGAACGTTCAGCGAACTACAACCACTAGAGGACGGACAGGACAAGGGCGACGAGTTTGATGTGTATGCGTTCGTGCTTCTGTTGCTGGTGAGTGAAGGCAAATCAAACTACCAGCGATTCTTTCTTACGTGCACTGATTTCACCGATTGTGACGACGGCATCGTCAACCAGCATCTCCTCAGAAACGATGAAGACTGGTTGTTAAACCAAGAGTCCCACGGTTCCGTTTCTCGCCACCAAGTTGTGGAAATGAAGGTGTGGTGGTTCCGCAATGCTGTCAAGTATCTTGTCGAACGCTCTCGAAATTTAATGGGGGCTTTAGATCCCACACGAAGCCACCTGGTACGAGAAGCAGAATATCTCCAAGAGTGTCTTAGATTGGGTCCAAACGGCATCGACAAATGGAATAGAGGCAACCCCCGCCACTTACGAATGAGCAACAATTTCGACAAAAATTTCTGCGTTATCAAAACAACCGCTCGTCTCGAACGTGACAGCAAAGACGGACGATCCAAAGTCGTTGCTCAGAAGGCGTTACTTGTCAATTATGAGAGAGAGCTTAAGGAACATCCTACCGAAATCGAAGCGTTTATGGCCCGTCTACGTGAGAAACTTCCCCCCGGACTCTGGCAAGAGCCACGAGCATTGCAGATACCACTGGCTCTCCGACCCTCAGTGGAACAAATAAGACAACGTCAAAAAGAGCTAGAGGCCATAATAGCACTGCATCAAGCCCAGCGAGAACTGGCACTGCATCAAAACAATCATAACCCCACCAGCAATGGTAACCAAACGAGTGACTATTCTAATATGAACCTTTCATCATCATTTGAAGAAGACTCCGACCTGGATGATGAAGACAACAATGATCAAAACGTTGACCCTAACCATGCTGCCTTCAGCCGCATTCATGCCGCCAAAACAATACTGCAGTCGGAGCTGGTAGTGGCCACTCCCTTTAATTTAGCCACTCTCCAGAATGCCACGATGCTAGCCGAATACGAGGAGGTGGTTCGAGGCGGCCCTGTTGCAGACGACATTGACTTTGATGAAGATATGAACCTTTCATCAGATGACGACTCTCCTCAAGAGAACCACCGCAATTCAGGAACATTTAAACCCAACGATACCCAGATTGTGTTCGAATCGAACCCGGTGAAGGTCGATTCAATCAGCAAACTTGACCCCCTTGTTATGGGTCGTCTGTACACATTCCCCTGTGAACTCTTAGGGTATGTCAACGACGTTGAGCTCCTGTTACGACCTCGCTACACCTCCACTGACGATATTGAGATCCACGACATTCAGCTCTGGTTAGTTGACCCTGGCTTCACCACCGAAGGACGCATCATCCCCAAAGATCGGATATTGAAGGCTACGTTGGTTCGCGAAATGGCGGTCAAATTCTATGGCTTGGACACTCCCGAGGAGTTAGCATCACACGGCCGAGAGATCGACGACCAGATCAAGCAGAACTGGCAACCCGGCGTGGTGGGGCAGTGTACTGTCAAACGCACCGAGATCGACGGGATCCCCATCTGGCTCTTTGTCAGTCACTAATTGCATATGAGTTTTGAACTCAGACCTAATTTTCTAATAGAGTGATTATGATTAATACGAATGCTTATGACTATTTATACGAGTTTAATTGTTGTTGGCGGCCTTGTCACGGTCCTCCTTCATCTTCTGAACAATGCGACCGCTCAATGATTGTGTAGGGGCAAAGTTGATTTCGACCCCCAGATTGTCTCGCAGAAGAAGCGGGCGCGACTTGTCGTGCTGGTTGTGATGATCGGCCATCAGGATCATCGAGTTCCAGTTCAGTTGCGCTTGGAGTTGCAACTGCAGGTTCTTAGCGTTCTTGTGTAACGGGTAGTCGCTGAACATGGGGATGTTGGTGAGCGAGTTGTCAGAGTTCAACAACGAGATACCGTCGGAGTCTGACGCCGAGCGAGAGAGAGCCCCCAGCCCCGTGCGCCGGTGTTGACGTTTGAATTGACGACGCTGTTTAAGCTCAGTAGTTTTACGCTCTTCTTCTTCATCAGAGTCCGCGGCGTAAACTGGTTTCTTAACGTCCATTCCAAGCTTAGATCCCATCTCCACGAGGTTAAAGTCATTGGGGAAAAGTTGAGGCCCAAGTGTGTTAACCAGCTCGGTGATCTCTTCAGCAAGTTCTTGACGCAATTGCTTAATCTCTTGAACCGACAGCCCGTCGGTGAGCGAAAGCACAAGTGGCCGAATCAGCTTAAAGAGATCCATACCCTGTTCGCCAGTGACCAACGCCGAGTAAGTGACGATGACACCACATAAGTACAATACCACCCACACCCAGAACAAGGTGTGATTCAGCCAGATGCCGGCACGCTTACAGTACCAGGTACCCAAAGTAGCCCAAAACGAGTAGACGATGGGGGCAAAACCCATCAGGATCAAAATCTTCCACGTCGCCACCACGTCGTTGGCCCGGACTTTAACCGTCAGCGATTTAAGAGCCTCGACGGCTTTTTGCTTGGAGATCTTCTTCGCCAAGAGGAACACTGGAGAGAACAATACCGCCCCCGGCAACGCCAACACGAAGAAGAAGGCGATCTTGATGAGTCTGACAATCAACTCAGACACAAGACGAAGCTTGTGCAGCTCGTCGCAGGCTTCAACGTAGTGATCGGCCAACAGCAATTGCTTGAGCTTTTGATTATACACCTTAACCTTCTCCTTGATCAGCTGAACTTGAGGGTCATCCTTAAACGTTTCATAGCCAAGCACAAGTCTCCGGTTCATTTCCACCACTAACGGGAGGGGTAACGATTGGGCCAAGTTGCCAGCGTACAACCGACGGGCCGCCTGGATAAGCATGAGGGTGTCGTAGTCTTCACAAGTAACGGTAACCGCCTTGAGACCAGCTTCAATTACGTCCAAAAGCTCCTTCACTGCTTCCTTATTAGTCAGAGGGTTGGAGTATTTGCGCACAAGTTCTTCGTCAATCTCGATCGGGTGGCCAAACTCAATCACCGCCCGCAGCCGGAACTTGTGGGCGTGGAAGTAGTTCATGCCACATGGGACAATACGCACTTTACACTTGGGGTCGTGGTCCATAGCGCCGAGGGCCATGATCGCCACCCCTGCCTTAAGCGGTAAAAGCGAGGTGCGATCATGAGAGCCACCTTCAGGGAAGATACCAATGCAGTGGCCGTGGTTTAAGTGTTCGAAAACAGTGTGGTACACTTGCTTTTGGTCGACTTTATCAGCGGCTTTAAACAGCGAGCCTTGACGCAACAATGTTTCCACTTTCGTCAGGCGTTTAAACTCCTTACGGATCTTCAATTCGGTGTCGGAGACGATCTCCGCCACTTCACACGCCCCTAAAGACTGAGGAAGGGCCACAAGCCCCTTTACCATACACTCCTGGGTAAACTTAGTCCCTTTACCGCGAATGGTCAACGGATCGTCATCAAAATCCACAAAGATCTTACCCGTAGCTGGGCGCAAATTGTCCTGGGCTCTGACCACGGGGATCGACAACTGACTCCGCGAGACAAGACCAATGAATTTGCGGGAATACAGCTTAGCGGCGACGAGAAACAGGATGCGGCGCCCGGCTTCCTTCAGCACTTGTTGCATCAAGATCATCGGATCAACGAATTGGTTGGCGTGAGGGGCAGCGACGAAGATCACCGGCCCCAGTCTCGGGAGCCTAAACGCTCCCCGGGGCCTGATCTCTCTAAAGAAACAGTCAAACACGATCTGGAACGCGCCCATGATCAAGTCGTAGATCCAGAGCCGCCACCATGGCGGTTCCTGGTACTCAATTTGCGGCGATGATCGTGGGGCCGAAGCAGTGGACACGGAGGTATCGGCGGTTTTAGCAGCGGTGGCGGGCTTTGCCGCCTCGACGCTAGCCTCTTCCAGCGCCCCCACGAGCGATTGTCTGCGTGTCATTGACCGGTGGGACGATGGCAAATGACGGGACGGAACTGGATTACCGCGGGGTCAAAAGTTTAGGTCTAGGTTTGAAAGGGTTGAGAGTAAAACAGGGGCGGTCTCGCATGGTCAGGGGTCACGTGACGCGAAAACGAGCTAGAATCTTCGATGGCGACGAGCGTCCCCCGAAAGAGTGAGGGTTCGAAGGTAGGGTCCACAGGAAATATTGCGGACTTTAAAACGAATTTGTAGTCACGGATAGGGGCGTTAATGACGTCACGGTGGTAGTGTACATGTGTGGGGTGGTGGGGAAACGGGGGTGTGAGAGAAGTGGGGTATTCCCCCCCTTTTCGAATAAAACCGATGGCCGACTTGCGTCGGGGTTATTTCCTGGGGAAATTTCGCGGTTGCCGGCGGCTAACAGTGAGCCATTATTGATCGCGATGATGGGACAAATGATCCACGCAAGATTAGAGTCACGGTGACCCCACGCTCATCAACTGTGGCGTTAGGCGACAATTTCAATATCAAGGAATAAGAATGACTTTCGTAAAGGTTAACCGTTATCACTGGTAGCCATAATCAGTCACCCCTTAGGACTTTCGCGGCACGGGTGTATCCGGCAATTCAACCATCGATGGCAGAATAACAATTGAAAGACCACGGAACTAGGTACCGTCACGACGTGTGGGTGTTGGGGTCACTCACTGATTGTGCTACGGCACGTCACCGGCGCTATATACCGCGCCGCTATCCACCGCCCCCCACACTTTTGTGTCAACAGTGCTGCCACCACTTATTATCCCCACACATGTGATTTCTCCGAGGATGGCAAGAGCTCCTCCAGTAGCCGGGGGAGCGACATGCTTTCGGTAGGCGCACGACTTACGGTTACCCTTTTACCTTTTGAAAATTGAACGACAGTGCGAAAAAAAAGGCCGCTAGCTGGGTCTTTGTCGGAGCCGCGGTCCGAAATGTGGGGGGTGTGGGTTTGCCGTCGGCTTAGCGGGTGGGAAGCCTACGGCCCGAGCTATTAGTCGTGGTGGGTAGTGATTTCGGAACCACCGTCCTACACCCACCACTAAGTAATAGTGACTTTTTGGTATCAATGGTAGTAGTCGTACGTATGTAGATCATGTGGAGTTTCATCGGCTCGTAGTTCGTGGCACGTCCCATCCCTTTGGACAAGCCGAAATTTATGGGAGCATGTGGTTTGTCGCGGTGACCATTAGTGATGATCAGTCCCTCGCAACTACCAGTTAGGCCATTCAATTAGCCATACTACGACATTAAACAATAATTGGATAGTCTACCAGACATGGTAAACGTAATACAGTCGCCTTTTTCGGGTGCTGGTGTCGGCATTGGCGTCGTTGTTGTCGGGGACTACTCCTATCACAGGCTTGACCGAGGTTAGTTCCCCGGATCACTGTGTGCACTCCGCGCGCCCCCCGCACAAGGGCAAGCCAAGGAGAGGGACGGGCTATAAAAACGTCACCCACCCCCCCACGTTTATCTCTTCCAATTGACCAGGAACACCCATTGACCAAAATGGCAATTACCTTCAATGACAAAGTGGTCATCATCACCGGTGCCGGTGGTGGCCTCGGCAAGCAGTACGCCCTCGAGTTCGCCAAGCGGGGGGCGAAAGTCGTCGTCAACGACCTCGGCGGCTCGCTTTCGGGCCAAGGCGGCGACTCCCGTGCCGCCGATGTTGTTGTGAACGAAATTAAAGCCGCCGGTGGCCAGGCCGTCGCCGACTACAACAACGTTCTCGACGGGGACAAGATTGTTGAGACCGCCGTCAAGGCCTACGGCACCGTCCACATCGTCGTCAACAACGCCGGGATCTTGCGGGATGCGTCGTTCAAGAAGATGACCCCGGAAAACTTCAAGCTCGTGCTTGACGTCCACTTGAACGGGGCCTACAAGGTCACCCAAGCCGCCTGGCCCTACATGAGACAACAGAAGTTTGGCCGTATCGTCAACACCGCCTCGCCCGCTGGTCTCTACGGTAACTTCGGCCAAGCCAACTACTCCGCTGCCAAGCTCGGTTTGTTGGGTTTCGCCGAAACCTTGTCCAAGGAAGGTGCCAAGTACAACATTCTTGCCAACACCATTGCCCCCTTGGCCAAGCTGAGAATGACTGAACTGATCATGCCTCCCGAGATCTTGGAACAGCTCTCGCCCGAAAAAGTCGCCCCCTTGGTGTTGTACTTGTCGCTGGAGGAAAACGAGCTTGGCGGTGAGACTTTCGAAGTCGCCGCTGGTTTCTACGCTCAGATCAGATGGGAACGTTCCGGTGGTGCGTTGTTCTTGCCCGACGAGACCTTCACCGCCGAAGCCGTCGCCTCGAGAATCGAAGACATCACCGACTTTGACTCCGACGACGAGCGCCCCGAGTTCTTGAAAACTCAACACCCCAAGATGCTCAACGACTACACCACCTTGGTGGAAAACGCCCACAAGCAAGCTCCCTTCGACAACTCGAAGGTTGACCCCATCTCGTTGAAGGACAAGGTGGTGCTTATCACCGGGGCCGGTGCCGGTTTGGGTAAGGAGTACGCCAAGTACATTGCCAAGTACGGTGCCAAGGTCGTCGTCAACGACTTCAAGGACGCTTCCGAGACCGTCAAGGAAATCATCGCTGCTGGCGGTGAAGCCCACGCCGACCAACACGACGTGGCCAAGGACGCCCAGGCGATCATCGACAACGTCATTGGCAAGTACGGCCGCATCGACGTGTTGATCAACAACGCCGGGATCTTGAGAGACAAGTCGTTCGCCAAGATGACCGACGCCGAGTGGTACTCGGTGCAACAGGTGCACTTGATCGGTACCTTCGCCCTCTGTAAGTTGGCGTGGCCCCACATGGCTGCCCAGAACTTTGGTCGGATCATCAACATCACCTCGACCTCGGGTATCTACGGTAACTTCGGCCAGACTAACTACGCCTCGGCCAAGGCCGCCATCTTGGGGTTGTCGAAGACTCTTGCCATCGAAGGGCAAAAGAACAACATCAAGGTGAACATCGTCGCCCCCCACGCCGAAACCGCCATGACGTTGACCATCTTCCGTGAAGAAGACAAGAACTTGTACCCGCCTCAATTGGTGGCTCCTTTGCTTGTCTACTTGTCGCTGGACGAAGTCGAGTTGACCGGTGCTTTGTTCGAAGCCGGTGGTGGCTGGATCGGTTACACCAGATGGCAACGGGCCAAGGGTGCCGTGTCCAAGGCCGAACACATTGGCCCCGAGTTCATCGCCGACCACATCGACGACATCACCAACTTCGACGAGGACACCATCAACCCTGGCTCCACCACCGAGTCGCTGATGGCGATCTTGGACGCTGTTGCCAACGCCGAGGACGAAGCCGAAGACGAAGACGACTCCGAACCCTGGCACTACACCGACCGCGACTGTATCTTGTACAACATCTCGGTCGGCGCCAAGGTCAACGAGCTCAAGTACGTCTACGAAAACGACCCCGACTTCCAAGTGGTGCCTTCGTTCGGGATGATGCCTACCTTCAACTGCGGTGGCTCGTCGCAATACTCGTTCGCCGACCACTTGGAAGGCTTCAACCCCATGTTCTTGTTGCACGGTGAACAGTACATCCGCGTCCACAAGTGGCCCATTCCCACCGAAGCCACCATCAAGTCGACCTTCAAGCCCATTGCCATTACCCCTAAGGGCAGCAACGTCGTCGTGGTGCAAGGCTCCGAGCAAAAGGACGAAAACGGCGAAGTGGTGTTCTCCAACGAGTCCACTTTCTTCATCAGAAACTGCAAGGGTGAACAGAAGCTGTTCGCTGACCGCAGATCGTTCGCTGCTCAACAATTCGAAGCTCCCTCGTCGGCCCCCGACTACGAAGCCACCTACAAGTTGGACGAGTCGCAAGCGGCGTTGTACCGTTTGAACGGTGACCGCAACCCCTTGCACATCGACCCCGACTTCGCCAAGGGCGCCAAGTTCGACAAGCCCATCTTGCACGGCATGTGCACCTACGGTGTGTCGGCTAAGTTGTTGTTGGACAAGTTCGGCGGCTTCAACGAAATCAAGGCCAGATTCACCGGTGTCGTCTACCCCGGTGAAACTTTGAAGGTGAAGGCGTGGAAGAAGGGCGACACCGTCATTTTCCAGACCTTGGTCGTGGAAAGAAACATCGTCGCCATCAACAACGCCGCCATCAAGTTGCTTGGCGACAAGGCCAACTTGTAAGCAAAGTAGCTAGCTGCTTTAGCTGTATAGGAAATGATTGTTACGTTTAGTGTGAAAAACTGTAGGCAAAGCTGTCCAGCAAATTACCTCTACAATTGTCTTCGAACTTTTGTCCCGCGTTTTCGGAGACCTCGGGTGATGGCGGGTTCCCCACATTCGCCCCTCGACTTGTCATTTTACACGTGCAAAACCGTTCTCGGCAAGCGAAACCCTCGTGCCGCAAACGGCTGCAGACCCCCCTATACGACACGTCACACTGGATCGATAATATAACTCAAAGATAAATACCGTCATGGTCGTTACACTAGTCTTCTTGTATTGCCTGATTTTGTTATCCCCCAAGTATTCGGGGGTGATAACACCATTTAAGGTACGCACACGACTTCACGTGCTTCCCCACTCGTGGAGCACATGAAGGCAATTTAGCCGGTACCCATCGTCCCTACTCTACCAATTGGCCCTTCATGTACGATATCGTGGAGGCGCCGTTCGTCCCCACCACAGCAGAGATTCTCACCGAGCTGTCGAATGCCAACTTGCTCACGGAGAACCCAATCTTGGCCCTGGCGCTCTCGATGATTTTCCCCTATATCATCTTGATCGACAACTTCTTGGAATTGTGCACCTGGAGCAACGAGGACCCCTTCGACAATTTGTTGGTGGTGCTTGTTTACGGTTTGGTTGTCCGCTACTGGCTGGTGGTGACCAACGTGTTGTTGCCGTTCCTCTTTGCTCTCACTTTCTCCAGTGTGGTGTGGCGGGCTAACTCCGTGATTGCTGACCTGAGGTTCAACGAGAAACCTACTATAGATGAAGTGATCAATACGCTTAGCAATATCACGGGGCGGGTCGAGGTGTTGTTGCGCCCTATCCGCCATTTCCCCATGGGCCCTCGCCAACTAACGCGCCTATTATTAGGGGCATTGGCCATTCTGCCGGTCCACTGGCTTTTGCTTAACACTGTTATATCGGTGAAACGCTACGTGTGGCTTTTGGGTACGTTTGCGTTAACGTACCACCTGCCGTGGCTGTACTCGATTCGACGCCTTATTTGGCGTCTGGTGTACGTGAGAGTGATTGCCTTTTACGTTACCGGGATCAGTGTTACCATTGACAAAAAGCACCAGCAACGGGAGTTGTCCCGAAGTCGCAATGCCACTACCATTTCTACCCCTGTTGGTAGTGACATGGAAGATGTCGACCCTTCGCACATCCCCGTGCTTTCAGACTTTAAGATCATCCGCAAGATTATCAGCTCTCCCGTCCAGCTTAAACAGATCGTCGAGTTTGCCATCTTAGAGAACGAGCGGCGGTGGTTTGGCCTTGGGTGGTCGCACTTCATGATGCCCGGCGACCGTCCCAACTACTGCTACGATGTCAGTTTCAAGCCGGCGCCTCCCGTGGACGAAGATACCAACGATAACTTCCCGTTCCCCGTGTTTGAGAACGACTTGTACCTGTACCACTGGAACTGGGTCGCCCCCGAGTGGACGCTCGACGAGGACTATAACAAGGGCAAAGACAAAGACGGCTGGGTGTACCACGACTCCAACTGGGAGAACGATACCTATGTCGATGGCTTCGGCACCTATACCCGCAGCCGCAAGTGGACTCGCCGGGCCGAGCTCCTCATCGATAAACAGGACGTGGTGTTGGACGGTAAGTAGTGTGCATACATAGACATCCTAATACTACAAAAGCTAGACACTGTGTACGATCTAATCACTTGAGAGTTTACGTGAGTCCTCCAATTTTGAGTGCTTGTAGATATGTTAGAAATAGATGCGATTAACACTCGAGGAGATTGAGAGTGCTGCGAGTGAAATAGGACACAGCCTTGAGGTTGATTCAATTCTATTTTGGGTCACTTGTTACCTCCAGTCACTGCCCCGTTGTCTAGGTTTATTTTTTGTTTTACTTACTCGTTGGAGAATAACACCCGTTAGTAGAGTAGTATCAGCAGTGGACCAGCCTGCTTCGAGGAAAAAAAAAAGAGATGCTACAGGTGACGTACGATGAGTGCATCATGCCAGAGTACTCAATTAAACTAACACCACGCACAGCACACTCGACCTTATTCACTAATCGCCAGGGTACACCGAGGCTAAGCCATTTGGTATTTACCAAACACAAGCAGACAGCATCTGATCGATCACGCCGCCTCCACTAATGGCGACGACGAGACCCTGGGTCGCTGCCGGTTCGCGTGCGGCGATAAGCACTCTCCCAAAACGTCGTGGCGTGTGTCCCACAGATATTTTAGGCCACGTACACGCTAACCAAATGACAGACAAAAATCGACAACAGTCTGCCTTTGAAGGGGGCTGGCGTAGCGACGTGTAGGCGGGCGGGGCGAGACGCGGTGTCGCTCGGGCCGAGCCGAGAGTGACGGGATCCGGCTAGCCGGCAAGCGGGATGAGCCGCAGTCAGTTGTCGTGTGTTATTGTGTTTTGATGTCGGAACGGAATCTACTGTTACACCCCCGCAGCCGTGCTGAGCCTCGTTGGCGCTGGGGCAGGTGGTAAGGAAGCGCCATCGGCATCGGCGCCGCGTCTGAGGGGGGCGCCGGACGCGATGGTGCCAGATCAAAAATTTCGTCGGTGTATGGGGAATAGACGGCCTAGAAAGTTCACAAATCAGGGTGGGGATTAGTCAGCACAACCCCCGCCAGCTCGGGTTTGAATTATACTCATTGTAGATAGGGTTAGTGGCGGGGCCACAAAAGCTTTTGGTCTTGGGAAACCCCGCGGCAGCGGCGCCCATCGCTGCCCGCTAAAAGGTTTGTGTCCTGTACCTTGGACTTGGACCATCGGGGCTGTGCTGATAGCGCCGCGCACCTTGCCCCATAATTACACACTGCAGAGCCCACTCCACACAGAGAGGCTGGGGCTAATGTCAAAATAAATGTAAACGGTTACACTAGTTGCCAAATCAGTCTCCACCCCTATTGCCACCTAATCTCTAGTCCTGGTCTAGGGGGTTCACTGCGCCCCCCCCTCCACCCCGTGATGCCAAGAAAAACCGTGTGGGCCTTTCAAAAAACGCTATCTACCGCTCGCGCCTGCTGGGAGACGCGTTTCAGGGCGCCCAACGCCTCGGCAGAACCGAGCCCGCACCACAGCACAAAAAGGCGTTTCCGCGGTCTGTCTCCGGCTTGGATGAACACCAGAGACGATATGGCTTCCGCGGCTCTGCTGGCGTCCCCGGGCGATTCAGAGCCCTCCGACCGACTGGGGCTCACCCTGCGCCAGCTGTCTCCCTCCGCCAGCGAGTTGAGCTCGCTGACGCTGCGGGAAAAGACCCCCAGCGTCCCCATCATGGAGATCGGCGGGCGCTTTGTCAGCGCCGGTGGCAAGGACGCCGGCAACTTGCCTCGGGCCCACTACAAGAGCAAGCTCTCGCCGCTACGCTACCGGTTGCGCAAGGTGGCACTCCCCATCGTCGAGTGGGAGGCCGACTTCATCGCCGCCATCCAGAACCGGATGCGCCACCCCTGGCTCGACTTCTACTTCGCCTGGACGGCGAACTTGGCCCTGCACACCTTCTACGTGTTGTTGTTCCCCATCCCCGTGTGGTTCGGGTCGCTGTTGGTGCTCCGAGACATGATCTATTCGGTGGGGTTCGGCATCTACTGTACGGGGTTCTTAAAGGACTGGCTCTGTTTGCCTCGTCCCAGATCGCCGCCGTTGCACCGAATCACCATGCTGAGTTATACCACCGAAGAATACGGCTTCCCCAGTTCGCACCTGGCCAACGCCACCCTGATGACGTTGATCTTCCTCTACCGCGTAATTAAGTACGGCCAGGACTGGCTGAACTTGGCGTGGTACTCGGCGATGGCGGGTTTGTTTGTCTACTACGCCTCGCTTATCGTGGGACGTGTCTACTGTGGCATGCACGGGTTTTTCGATATCCTTCTGGGTGTGTTTGTTGGGTGGCTTGTGTTTGCCTTCCGCCACTACTTCGGTGAAACCTGGGACTATTTCCTCTTTTACTACCTCCCGCTGGGCCTACTTTCAGTGGTATTGGTCACTGCCATCTGCTGTGCCCTCATCCACGTGTACCCGGAGCCCGCCGACGACTGCCCCTGTTTCGACGATGCTGTGGCCTTTGTCGGTGTGGTTATCGGTATGGACATCACCCATAATCTCACCGTGCGTACCGACTACCTTGCCCGCCTCAACCGGTTTCAGGACCCCTACCTCATGTTCTACAGCTACGAGCAGTTAGGCTTGCTCTGGTCGTTTATGCGTGTAGTTGTTGGTGTTGGTGGTGTCGCCTTGTGGAAGGCCGTCGCCAAGCCCGTGGTGTTCGCCATCCTCGTCCCCATCTACAAGTGGTTGCAGGTGTGGATCCCTCGGGCCAACTACAAGCTGGTGGCCCACTCGCGGGCGAAAAACACCCACATTCGCCGCCAGCTGGCGCTGAATATCGGCGGCGAAGAGATGGAATTCTTGCATGACGTGACGCTGCACCCGCACGATCAGGTGGGGGCGCCGTGTAAGGCTGGCGTGTTCAAGCCGCGCTACGACGTCGAGATCGTCGGCCGGCTCATCATCTACGCCGGTATCCCCATCATGGCCGTGTGGGGGTTCATCTTCACCTCCAAGTACACCGGCGTCGCGTGCATTGATTTCTCTCTTTCGTAACCCATTTTCTCCCATAGTCATTAAACAAGTGAAAACAGATTAATATTCCACCTAATACTCTACTGCTATTGCTCCGCTGACAATTGTCTGAGTTTTATTGAAGTTAAATTGTAAAGCCTCTTCTTCTCATATCAATGGCTGTCTGACTGATTTTGGGGCACTGTCGGTGGGGTAAGTGTCAGAGAATGATCCCACTCTTTCCCTGGCTGCGAGTGAAGTCCCCCTCCCCTAGGTTCGTGTAAAGACGTAAAGGTAAGATTTGATCGGAATTAAACGATGGTTTATCGGTAATAGATCTATCAGATACATCTTTTCCCTTGAAATTGTGCATGTACATCTTGTAGTCCAGTTAAAGTTCATCAAGTCGAGCAATTCCACAGTTCAGAGCATTATCGAGTTGTTGGAACTTCCCTTGGAATTACCTTTCGAATTTCCGTCGTTAAGATTTGAGTTGAACTCTAATTTCAACAGAGGTCATTCAAAATCTTATTGGCAAGTCCAATTCCTTCCGAGTAGCCTCGACAAAAAGGTCCCCAACAAAAATGCCTCTTAGAACAAATTATCGATATTATCAGACGGAGAGCCGATTAACGTTTCATCGAGCCATGAATGACTTGTGAGGGATACAGCTTTGCGATGACTAAGGCAGCATTAACAGACTTATTAAAAAATCTTGCTCCAAAGACAAGACAAAAATTATAAAAGGTTGACCATCTATTGTTCAGGGAGTCTGTATTGGTAGGAACTCTATTTTAGCATAACATTGTCCATTAAAAGGCCCAAATGTCAATTTTTTAACATTCGTACTGCAAGAACGAGACACGTCTGGGTCATGAATGCAACGACTCCAAAAGTGGGAGACACAGAGAGACCACAGAAGAATCAGATACCACCAAATTCAAGCAAAGCCCTCATAAGCTTTGGTCATTTCTGTCCACCATAGGTAATCATGAAATTCAGATTTTCGGTTTGAAAAAACCTTACTGCAATAAAAAGAGAAAAATCCCGCAGACTCACGAACTTCCCAATTCACAGCAGTAGAGATCGTCTAATGACATGTCCCCATTCAAACGGCGATCGATTAGCCAGGGATGATTATTGAGAGGTAACGGCTGACGTGCAGTAAGTACAAAAATGCTTGGTGACCCATGCCCCAGAATTGGTCCAAGGTATTTTCGTGACCCCGGTCGGCTGAATAGCTTAATTTTCACCCGAGTTGCATTTATTGGCTGTATAGTGGCGTCGCTGGACGTCGGCTGGGCTTTGACCACGGTGCAGCAAGATTTCACCTTTCCGGTTATGACCACTGAGGCGATGAAGTCATAGCCATGGCATCCCTAATTGCTCGGCGCATACCACCAATAGGAGTGTAATTCGTCTCGCTTTAGTGTGGTTGTCATCTCCAACTTTGCTGTTCTGGCAGTGGTAGTCTATCTTACTCTCAGAGTGCCTGCCGTAAAATCGGGGCTTATGTGCATGAAGAGGATTGTCGCCACGGGCGTGTGGTACAGTGTCCCCGTCACACACACGTCACCAGCCAAAGCCAAATGCCGTTTTTGGAAACATCAATAGTTTAGTTTGACATGCAACCCAAGTCCCGCAGAAAAGCTGGTGAGATGGCGGTCGTATCCCTGGCGTCGCCGCGGTATGGGAGTGTGTAATGCCGTTTCAAGGGTCATGCCATCACCCACACCTTGTAATGAGCCACCGGATCTTTGGTGGCTAGTGGTTGATCCTGGCGCAAGGTGACACTGCTGGTGGGGCGTCGTCATCGTCCTTACCGGAGTCTCTCGCGTTTGAGGCAACATTAGTCATGGCACATGATCCGCACCCACTAGAGAAGGCAATCGGGAGTGGATCCGTTGGGGGAAGCCAAACTTCTCCAAAATTTTAGCAACGGCCACCCATCACGAAAATTTTGGGTCGCTGCTGACAAACGCTGGTGTCCCACGACCACATCACAGAAACACCATGTGAATGTCGCTGTAGCGAGACGTGCGGGATATGCCGACTCTTCTCGAGGCCAGGAAAGTGCTAGACCGTCTAAGCCTGCTGCACTCGCCCCGCAACACTGTCATTTTTGTCTCAGGTGGTTCCCCCGGGGCCTGATCCCCCACGCTCTTCTCGGCATTACTGCTTTAAAAAATAAAGTTACATGTCGACGTACCATGCGCATGTAAAGTGTCGGTTGATAAAGACTGCATTCATGTTATCTCGAAGACGAACCACACCCGCGACACGACAGTCACCCGAAAAAAAAAGCAACGCTGTCGGTCACCTTCAGTGGCCGCGCCCCACATTATAAACAGGTAGTCCCGTCGATGCACTCGCCACATCTGGAGTGCTCCCCAGTTCTGTGGATTTTTCATCAGTCAATTTCTCTTCCCTTAGGCCTTTTGGGTACCCCCACGTCGTCATTGCCGCGCCGTGATCTGTTGGTGGAAAATCAGCTTTTATCCTCCTCGTCCCCCAGGCCCCCCAGTTCCGTCCCCGATTCTCCAGTTTTCCCCCGGTGCCCTGGATTCGCTCGCCCCGTCGTCGGCGCCACGATTCCAGGAAGCGTCGAATGGGGTGTCCGCCCCGGCCCCTCCCCCACGTCTCGATCCCGCCGGCTCCCCGATGAAATACTACTACCAGCAAAAGGCCACCGATGGTAGTCTGCGCGCTGCCAATGGCCCCGACCCCGGGGTCGCCAGCCCCGGTGCTGGAAATAACCCTCCGGCCAACGCCGTGGCCCCGGCGACAATGTCGCCGCCGCTGGGGCCACGCGCCCTGGCCCTGCTGGCCCTGCTGTTGAACCTGCTCTCCCACCCGTCCCACCAGGCGATGACCACCATCGACCAGCTCTATGTGGTCGTGTCACGGATCTCGGCCCAGTGCCACGACCAGAGCGAGCTCATCACCACCCTTTCCACCAAACTCGATGTACTAGTGCAACAGGTCGACTCGCTCAAGATCTTGGCCCACGAGGCGCTGCAGCTGTGCATGGCGGTCCACTCCCAGACGATCGGCCTGCCCGTGGAGCGGATGGTCGAGCACATGAGCCAGCAATTGCTCCTCTTGCAGCGCAGCGTCGACGACCTCCGCCCCGAGCGCCGGCCCCAACAATTGGCTACCACTACCAATAACTACGCCAACCTGCTGCAACACCCGCCACCACCTAAAGCGCCAGGGGCGCGTGGGTTCGGTGGGGGTGTCTACGGTGATATCGACCAGGACACCACCTCGTACTACGACTTCGACAACGTCGCCGACGGCGGGCGCCTGGGGAAAAAGCACCGCCTCGAGGACTCGCTCAACCTGCGGCTGCCCCTCACCAACAACGTGCTGCTGGCGCCCGGCGGCTACCCTGCGATGCCCGTGATCCACCACCCGACCCACTTCTCCCACCACACACCTGCCCACCCGTCCCACGTGGCGACGGCGACGACGGCGCCAACGCTGTTGGGCGACATCGCATACCCGTTCCAGATTCCCAACCACATCGCTGCCGAGGTCTACCCCT